TCACTCCAAGCTATGCGCCTTAGCTCTTGGCCAGTTTCCATACTCCACAAAACAACTTCCTTTGGATCATCAAAACGGTCTGTCAAAATGGTTTTTTTGTCAGTAGGAAAAGCACAATATGAAAATTTGCAGTTACTGTCAGGATAAAGGGAATTGCAGGCTCCTTCGAGAGTATAAGAACTTCTGAGGGTACCCGGTAGAACAGACATACCACTTGGATGAAAAACCACAGAACGGTAAAATGTCAGAATTCTAGACTTTATTCCACGATACGCGCCTCCATCAGGAACTACATCAAATTTAGGATGCACATATTGAAACTCTCTGTCAAGTAACGAAGGTCGACTCCATTCCAAGTTACCAGTCGCAAGAGACCACAGGTGAATTGTTCCATCGCGGCATTCGCACACCATGTAGTCCATTTGAGGTGAAACATCAAAACACGCGACCGTGTCTGAACAGTAAAATCGGGCTTGAACGGCTCCATTTTCTTCTTGCTTGTCTAAGTATTTCATGTACGGGACAGTAGGAAACCTGTTTTCGAGGATGGTGGCGGCTTCAGATGATAGGTCAGGAGGTCCTTCATTGACCACACTTTGAAACCAATGTTGCGGATGTTCTCTTAACAGATAAGAGTGTTTTCTAAGCACTTTTAGCAAAGAGATTGAGAGAGACTGACTTCGCTCACCGAGCAAGGTTGGCTTAATGTGCTTTTGAACACTGAAAATATCTTCGGAGGAGGCAGTGCTGTTCACACAAAGTTTGGCATAAATGAGCTCCAAATCGGTTACATACGTATTAATCAGCTCTTCTATATCACAAGGTCTTGGACTTTCACCCGATTTGATCAGCTCAATCATGTGCTGGACACCATGTTGCAAGGCGTACCTTGCCGTGTCACTGAAGGGGGAATTATGTACACCCTTTTGCTTGATATTGTCAAGCTCATTCCTGCAAAGGTCAAAAAGAATAACAATTCATTGCGGAAAAACTTAATGCGAGCAAGGTTTGCCTCAAAGGAGGTGTCACTTGGGGGTGGCTTGGTGTGCCAACCTGACAGAGGAGGGGATAATCCACAAATGTTAGTCAAAAGCAAGAATAGAAGAGTGATGTCGAAAGAGTTGGAGTCTGGCTTGGCTCCACTAGAAGGGAACAGTTTATCCCATTGGCATTTATTGAGGATTCGTCGACGCAGGAGACTTCGCAGGGTTTTAAATTGCACGTTAAGATCAGCAGCCAGATTTGCAGGAGGATGGTAGTTATCAAAAGCGTTCCTCAGAACCGTTGTTCCGCCATCTATCAGAAGTCTGCTCAGCTTGGCTCCGTTTGTCTTCTCTGCGCTGCTGACTAGGGGCGACGGTACAGCAGCTGCCATTTAAGGTGACTGGATGAAGTTTATGCAGCCTCTTTAATGATACAGAACCTAAATTAGTAGGCAACAAATTGTTAGTGATTAATCTCGCCATTTTCAGAATTTTCAAATAGAATACAAGTATCACTGCAATGGAGGTTGTTAGACTCAGAAGAAAGATAATAGAGACATACGGTTGAAATCAAGTGCCGGGCGCCAACCCTCGACGGCTCCGATTCCCAAGCTCCTAGTATTTTATAATTTGATTCTCTCCTGGTTAGCCAACCTTATTTTAATATGAATTCAAAAGAATGGAGAGGTAAGGTTTTCGCTCGTTTGTCAACATCATGTTTGTTACATTAATATTGATATTGACTATACCCTGCAACACAGTCCCTACGTGGCGTGTAGTTTCTAAATTCACTGGTATGGGTTTTCTAAATCATGATGTAAAAGTTAAATAAATGGGCTTTGTCCACTTTGAAGTACACTCTTTCTTTTAATAAGACTATGATTTATAAGAATATCGAGGCTGAAATTGCCGAATTTTAAGAATATTTTTAGAATAATCCCGAACTTTAGATTGTGAAAAGAATACAATTTTGTGTTTGAAATTTTGTAAACACGAAACAATTAAACTTTTTTAACTAAACCGTATGAAATTCTTTCTTTCTCTAAATGGCAAAACTTTCCAAAACGCAACAAAAGCAGCACTAGTCGTATGCTCGATGCTAATAACATTTCTGCAAGAAGTTATGCGCGTGATATCAGGTTTTAATGCCTGCAGGCCGGCTCCAAAATCACTTTAACACCATCCAGACACCAAATACATTCGAAAACAGAAATGTCATACACTATTTAAGCAATAGACCACAAGTTTTTATGGTTTATGGGCTCATAGCCCACGCGGAATGTTGGAAGAACACGAGAAGAATTCGTAAATCACGAGCCGCACGCGAGTGATTTACGAATTCTTCGTGTGTTCTTCCAACATCTCAAGTGGTTTATCAGCCTATAAACCATAGACTTGTGGTCTATTGCTTTCATACAATAATTCAGAAGACACGCGAAATTTCCATGAGTTTACTGACGCAATAAACCATATCTGATTGACCAATCAGAGCGCGCGCATTCATTTAATTATAAATCTAATAATATTCCAAATAATATTTCAGCCTAAAATGGGCAGAAAAACAAGAAATTCAGCCCCGACTGGAAAAACAATATTCTTATAAAAAAAAGAGTGTACGGAACAAACTCAGGAGTACGTAATTACATTTGTTCAATGCAACTGAGCCATGAACATACACTGTAATATACATGAATGTATGAATGAAACTCTATTGAAAAAAGTCAGACTCCTTGGATGTGCCGGAGTCTTTACATGCAATCGAAATCATGAAGTAAAGATGGGCTTTGTCGACTTTGAGGTACCAAACAAACTCAAGAGTACGTAATTAAATCTATTTCATGCAACTGAGCCATCAACATGCACTGTTGATCATCCTAGCTCATTTGTCCATAAATTATATATTACAATAATGTTCACAAATTGATGATTTAATTCGACTACTCTTTGTGTCCTACAGGATAGCTTGTTCGACTCCTTCAATCTATTCACACATCTCCAGAGATCTTAGCTCATTAGGATCTAATAAAGGTGAATTAAAAGTCTCATCTGCTTAAATCATGCTGAGATGCATAGTTGGCATTCTGAAAAACGCCTTGACATGATATAGCTTTATGGTTTAAACACTGGTTTTCGCTGTTTTACTGGGGAAGCTAAATTCTCTCTTTATAATTTCACAGTCACTTGATGAGCTCTTACTGCGTTTCACGCATTTCTTACTATCTATCTAATGCGGTAACGTCAAAGACGTGGACATTTACAAATATTTTGCTCATGCATGAGATAATGTCTGTGTTGTGACATGCCAACGAAATATATTCAATTCGTTGAGATCATCGTTTCTCAGTGATTGTTATCAACTTTATCCACTTTTCAAATGAAATCGTCCAACTTGAGGCCAGGCAAAATGGAAAAGAAAATGTTTCGAAGATGCGTTTCAATTAAAGTCTAAACCAAGCTTTAAGAGGAAATATGCATCGGATAATCACAAAGGTTTTGACCGACAAATAACACATTCAACCAAGTTACCTAGAGCAACACCAGTGTTACCTTAAGAATCCTATGTGGTGTCCTCCTGGGTGCAATCATCCTTTCTAGGTATCTGTGTTTGTCGCATGTCCTTTGGATGTCTCTAAGCAATTGCCGCGCGCTTGTTGTATCTTCCGCTGTCGGTTAGAACGATCTAGAATACGTATGGCAAGCCCTGCGGGATGGAACGTACAGTTAAGATCCTGACTGACCGCATTTGCATTTTTGGTGTCTCGCTCCGTTAAAAGTAAATTAAAGACGTGATTGATGGTTGGATTCGCGCGATTGCGCTTGACTAAGAAATAACAAAGTAGTTTCTAATAAAAGAAACCGTTGGGCTGCGTCAGGGAGAAAATGAAACACTGACCTATTCATTGAAGTTGATAAAGGTAAATTGACCACCGTAGAGAGAATGTTACGCTGACGTTTCGAGCGTAACTCCTTGGTCAGAGCAAAATGGGCTTTTGGCTTTTGTTGGTGGCCTGAACGCACAAGTTTTCTGACCATTTATTCGTCTTTAAAAATAGTGTCGAATGGTACGTTAGGCAGATAAGTCATCTTGTGTTAGTCGACATAAATCCATATCAAGTAGGACGAAGAGTACCAAACAGACGGTTTTGAAATCAAGGAGACTGGTACATAAAAACAAAATGGCTGCCGTAGATCAACATATATCGAGTACCATTTTATAAACGAAGCAAAACACTCAGCTCGCAAAGATCTTCTTTCGTTCAGGAGACCTGTGATGCCAAATTACCAAAACTGCACAGTAAAAAGCCTCTTTTTCAGTCTTGTTGAGAACTAATTTTCCAAACCAAGGGTCCATGGTTGATCTCTCTTGGCATTCAATGACAGGCAATTACAAATGAAAAATTTGCAGGAATAGGCCTATACAGTAATGTAAAATGATAACAGTTGTATGGGAGTTTAAACCGGATTTTTTTTGGTGCGGTGGTAACAAGATGAACCATTCTGAGCCCAGTTCTGTCAAGAGGGCTTTGACTGTATAGCACTTTTAGGTTTGAAAACGGAATATCGACACTACACCTTATTTGTTACAAATAACTAATACAAGGTTATTTATTTTTCTGACCTACATGATCGTCTAGAACTGATTACTCAGTGAAGATACGGAGAACCTAAAAAAGCAAGCCGTTAACGCCACGTTAAGTCAAATATTTTTTTTCTCCATGTAAAAATTACAAATTCTTATTGGAAGTTAGTTGGCTTAGAAAACTTGTGTTGATGGGATGCATTTGATAAATGTTCTGTTTGGCCGTTGCTATGGCGAAGTCTTGCAGACAAATTGGAATTGTTACGTTTAGCCATTGTTCAATACGCAATACATATCCAAGAAACTAAGTCCTCATTCAATCATGACCCTTAATTGCTGAATTGTCACATACTTGACAACTCGTTAAAATTACAAATATATAACATAAAACCTAAAAATATAATCTTTCTTTCTCTAAATGGCAAAACTTTCCAAAACGCAACAAAAACAGCACTAGTCGTATGCTCCATGCTAATAACATTTCTGCAGGAGGTACTGAATACGCCTGATATCAGGTTTTAATGACTGCAGGCTGGCTCCAAAATCACTTTAACACCATCTAGACACCAAATACATTCCAAAACATAAATGTCATACACTATAATCTGATAATCTTCACAAGAATATTTCAGCCTAAAATGGGCAGAAAAACAAGAATATTCACCCTCGACTGGAAAAACAATATTCTTATAAAAAAAAGAGTGTACGGAACAAACTCAGGAGTACGTAATTAAATTTGTTCAATGCAACTGAGCCATGAACATACACTGCGGGCAATACTGCATGAATGTATGACTGAAACTCTGTTAAAAAAAGTCAAACTCCTTAGATGTGAGTCTTTACATGCAATCGAAATCATAAAGTAAAGATGGGCTTTGTCGACTTTGAGGTACCAAACAAACTCAAGAGTACGTAATTAAATCTATTTCATGCAACTGAGCCATCAACATGCACTGTTGATCATCCTAGCTCATTTGACCATGAATTAAATATTACAATTATGTTCACAAACTGGTAATTTAATTCGACAACTCTTTGTGTCCTACAGGATAGCTTGTTCGACTCCTTCGAACTATTCACACATCTCCAGAGATCTTAGCTCATTAGGGTGTAATCAAGGTGAATTAAAAGTCTCATCTGCTTAAATCATGCTGAGATGCATAGTTTGCATTCTGAAAAAACGCCTTGACATGATATAGCTTTATGGTTTAAACACTGGTTTTCGCTGTTTTACTGAGGTAGATAAATTCCCTCTGTATAATTTTACAGTCTCTTGATCAGCTCTTACTGTGTTTCATGCATTTCTTACTATCTATCTAATGCGGTAACGTCAAAGACGCGGACATTTACAAGTATTTTGCTCATGTATGAGATAATGTCTGTGTCGTGGACATGCCAACGAAACATATTCAATTCCTTGAGATCATCCTTTCTCAGTGATCGTTATCAACTTTATCCACTTTTCAAATGAAATCGTCCAACTTGAGGCCAGGCAAAATGGAAAAGAAAATGTTTCGAAGATGCGTTTCGATTAAAGTCTAAACCAAGCTTTAAGAGGAAATATGCACGATAATCACAAAGGTATTGACCGACAAAATAAAACATTCAACCAAGTTACCGAGAGCAACGCCAATGTTACCTTAAGAATCCTATGTGGTCTCCTCAAGGGTGCAATCATCCTTTCTAGGTATCTGTGTTTGTCCCATGGCCTGTGGATGTCTCCAAGCTATTCTGAGCTTGTTGTATCTTCCGCTGTCGGTTAGAACGATCTAGATTACGCCGTATGGCAAGCCCTGCGGGATGGAACGTACAGTTAAGATCCTGACTGACCACATTTGCATTTTTGATGTATCGCTGCGCTAAAGGTAAATTAAAGACGTGATTGATGGTTGGATTCGCGCGATTACGCTTGACTACGAAATAACAAAGTAGTTTCTAAGAAAAGAAACCATTGCGCTACGTCAGTGAGAAAATGAAACACTGATGTCAGTATTCATTGAAGTTGATAAAGGTAAATTGACCACCGTAGAGAGAATGTTACGCTGACGTTTCGAGCGTAACTCCTTGGTCAGAGCAAAATGGGCTTTTGGCTTTTGTTGGTGGCCTGAACGCACAAGTTTTCTGACCATTTATTCGTCTTTAAAAATAGTGTCGAATGGTACGTTAGGCAGATAAGTCATCTTGTGTTAGTCGACATAAATCCATATCAAGTAGGACGAAGAGTACCAAACAGACGGTTTTGAAATCAAGGAGACTGGTACATAAAAACAAAATGGCTGCCGTAGATCAACATATATCGAGTACCATTTTATAAACGAAGCAAAACACTCAGCTCGCAAAGATCTTCTTTCGTTCAGGAGACCTGTGATGCCAAATTACCAAAACTGCACAGTAAAAAGCCTCTTTTTCAGTCTTGTTGAGAACTAATTTTCCAAACCAAGGGTCCATGGTTGATCTCTCTTGGCATTCAATGACAGGCAATTACAAATGAAAAATTTGCAGGAATAGGCCTATACAGTAATGTAAAATGATAACAGTTGTATGGGAGTTTAAACCGGATTTTTTTTGGTGCGGTGGTAACAAGATGAACCATTCTGAGCCCAGTTCTGTCAAGAGGGCTTTGACTGTATAGCACTTTTAGGTTTGAAAACGGAATATCGACACTACACCTTATTTGTTACAAATAACTAATACAAGGTTATTTATTTTTCTGACCTACATGATCGTCTAGAACTGATTACTCAGTGAAGATACGGAGAACCTAAAAAAGCAAGCCGTTAACGCCACGTTAAGTCAAATATTTTTTTTCTCCATGTAAAAATTACAAATTCTTATTGGAAGTTAGTTGGCTTAGAAAACTTGTGTTGATGGGATGCATTTGATAAATGTTCTGTTTGGCCGTTGCTATGGCGAAGTCTTGCAGACAAATTGGAATTGTTACGTTTAGCCATTGTTCAATACGCAATACATATCCAAGAAACTAAGTCCTCATTCAATCATGACCCTTAATTGCTGAATTGTCACATACTTGACAACTCGTTAAAATTACAAATATATAACATAAAACCTAAAAATATAATCTTTCTTTCTCTAAATGGCAAAACTTTCCAAAACGCAACAAAAACAGCACTAGTCGTATGCTCCATGCTAATAACATTTCTGCAGGAGGTACTGAATACGCCTGATATCAGGTTTTAATGACTGCAGGCTGGCTCCAAAATCACTTTAACACCATCTAGACACCAAATACATTCCAAAACATAAATGTCATACACTATAATCTGATAATCTTCACAAGAATATTTCAGCCTAAAATGGGCAGAAAAACAAGAATATTCACCCTCGACTGGAAAAACAATATTCTTATAAAAAAAAGAGTGTACGGAACAAACTCAGGAGTACGTAATTAAATTTGTTCAATGCAACTGAGCCATGAACATACACTGCGGGCAATACTGCATGAATGTATGACTGAAACTCTGTTAAAAAAAGTCAAACTCCTTAGATGTGAGTCTTTACATGCAATCGAAATCATAAAGTAAAGATGGGCTTTGTCGACTTTGAGGTACCAAACAAACTCAAGAGTACGTAATTAAATCTATTTCATGCAACTGAGCCATCAACATGCACTGTTGATCATCCTAGCTCATTTGTGCATAAATAAAATATTACAATTATGTTTACAAACTGGTAATTTAATTCGACAACTCTTTGTGTCCTACAGGATAGCTTGTTCGACTCCTTCCAACTATTCACACATCTCCAGAGAAGCATCTTACCTCATTGGGATGTAATAAAGGTGNTTCGACAACTCTTTGTGTCCTACAGGATAGCTTGTTCGACTCCTTCCAACTATTCACACATCTCCAGAGAAGCATCTTACCTCATTGGGATGTAATAAAGGTGAATTAATAGTCTCATCTGCTCAAATCATGCAGAAATGCGTAGTTTGCATTCTGAGAAACGCCTTGACATGATATAGCTTTATGGTTTAAACACTGGTTTTCGCTGTTTTACTGAGGTAGATAAATTCTCTCTTTATAATTTCACAGTCACTTGATCAGCTCTTACTGTGTTTCATGCATTTCTTACTATCTATCTAACGCGATAACATCAAAGACGTGGATATTTACATGTATTTTGCTCATGCATGAGGTATCTCTCTTCATTGACTGTTTGTGTCGTGGACATGACGAGTTATAGTCGATTCGTTTAGATCATCGTTTCTCAGTGATTAGTATCATCCCCTTTATACACTTCTTAAAATCAAAACTGCTATAAATAGACGCGAAATAAATCGACTTCATTAATTGTTCCGAAAATGTTTTTAAATGTTTTTACTTAAGTCTAAACAAGCTTTAAGAGGAAATATGCATAATAATCACAAAGGTATTGACCGACAAAATAGAACGTTCAACCAAATTAACGAGCAACGCCAAAGTTACCTTAAAAATCCTTTTCAGTCTCCTCCAATATGCAATGTTCTTTACTAGGTATCTGTGTTTGTCGCATGTCCTGTGGATGTCTCTAAGCAATTGCCGCGTGCTTGTTGTATCTTCCGCTTTCGTTAGAACGATCTAGAATAGGTATGGCAAGCCCTGCGGGATGGCAAGTACAGTTAATATCCTGTCTGACCACATTTGCACTTTTGATGTCTCACTGCGCTTAAGGTAAATTAAAGAAGTGATTGATGGTTGAATTCGGACGATTGCGCTTGATTAAGAAATATCAAAGTAGTTCCCAATAAAAGAAACTGTTGGGCTGCGTCATTGAGAAAATGAAACACTGACATATTCATTGAAGTTTATAAAGGGAAATAGATCGCCGCAGCGAGAATGGCAAGTTGACATTTCGAGCGTTAGTCCTGGGTCAGAGCAAAATGGTTTTTTGTTGATTGTCTGAACGCGCAAGTTGTATCGCGATGTATTCGTCTTTAAAAGTGTGAAAACGTTAGGTGGATACCGCATGTTGTGTTAGTCGCCAAAAATTCATGTACTAGCATTAACTTTTTTTGAAAAAAAAAAATGCCTCCCGAGTAGCATTTTATATTTTAAACAAATTCAGTTCGCAAAGATATACTTTTGTTCAGAAGACCCGTGACGTCAAATTACCAAAGTTACGCAGAAACATAGCGGCTAAAACGAGCCTCTTTTTCCGTCTTGTTGAAAACCAATTTTCTAAAGCAAGGACCCATAGTCAGTCTCTCCTAATTGGCATTCAATGACAGGCAGTTACAAATGACGAATTTGCAGACACTTATGGGAATAGCTGCATTCAGGAATGTATCACAAAAAGGTTTGTGTGGGAGTTTAAACGGGGTTTTGTCGAGGCGATCGTAAGTAGAGCTGTCCGCTTTACAGCCCAGTCTCCCCTCAGAGAACTTTGATTATATAACACTTTAAGTCTGGAAACTGAATAACAGAACTAAATTCTATTTATTATAACCACATTATCCATAAATAGCCAATACAAACCAATGCTTTTTTCTAACCTGCATTGCTAGAAGTGATAACTTAGTTAAGATATAGAGAACCTGAAAAGAACAGCATTTACTTCCACGGTAGGTCAAGGTTTTTTTCGAATACGCTCTTATTGGAAGTGGACTTAGAAAACTACTGTGGATGGAATTGATGTGACAAATATCCTATATAGTTACCGTCGCTATTGCAATAATAAATACCGCGATACTGTACCTATAGACCGCGAGCAGTCTCTCTTTTGCTCAAGAATCCGTGAGGAAGAACGTAAAGAAGAACGCAACATTAACCAGCGGTTGTGAGCGTGCGAGCGTGACATGCAAAGCCGCGAGCCCCAAGTCCAACGCCCGCGCTAGTGGCAGCTTCGCCGCTAGCCGCTCGCATGTCACGCTAGAAGTCACGCTCGCACGCTCTTTTGTTTTGCGTTCTTCCCCACGGATGCCCGAGCAAAAGACTGAAAAGAGAGACTGCTCGCAGTTTACTGTAATTGGAGTGGATTACAAAAGGTAAACAAACGTCCTAAAATGCTTTACAGTGAAAATGACTTCAGTGTTCTGAGTAAAAGTTGCTCACATTACTCCAGAGAGGTTTACATTCTCGGTTTCAGCTGCAATACACAATCACCTAGTCGTGGTGTCCATCCTGATATTGATGCGTACTATGCCTAGGTAGTGTCAATAAAAAGAAGAAGTTCTCGGTATCCAACGCACAAACTGTATCGCTGCTTAGTCTAATGAGAATCCTTCCTGGATTGATTCAGTTCAAGTCAATGATATGTTAGTTCTCACGATCCCAATACATATCAAACCAGTAAAGATACTCTGTCACTACCAAATGCGTTCGTTGTAATTGGACTGAGAACCATTAATATAAATACAACAACACTAAATCAAGTCCATGTCTTCAGAAATCAGACATGGCTGAGAAAACAAGGTTGTTCGTTATATTCGGGTGCTCATTATATAGCGAAGTCGTGTTTCTAGGGCTGAATACACCTACTAGACTATATCCTAACATAGCTTACCTCCTAGATATGGACATAAACAGTGTTTAATGTTAAATTATTTCCCTTATAAAGTTCCTTTAAATATGCCCATCTGAATTGTACAACAGCATGTCCTGTATGTTCAGAGTTACTAGTACTCAACTTGAATCAAAACTGATCATCTGTGGTAGACTCCGCGGCTATGCTGCCCAGAAATTTGTTTTCAAACCTTCCAGTAACTGACTGTATCGAGAATAGCAGCGAGGTGTACTTCACTTCTGTTTGCGACGGGAGCCTGCAAATGATAGAGGCATGTAGTGACTGCGAGTAGTGCCCAAGCTGCTAAACTCTTGAAAATTGCTGCCGAATACTTCGATTGCCCGCGTTCAAAAATATTTTTTTGTGCCGGGTTACGCTGTCTAATTTCTGTTCCAAGGAGTGCCGTAACAAAACTTACATGTATATTGACGGAAGCACAGCTGAAAAGCGAGGACAAAATTAAACAGGATTAAATGACAGACTGAAGTGGGAGGGTAAGACCTACACCTTTCTCGCAAGCTGCCTGGGATTCTAAGTTTAAACCAAATTAGCAGTCTTCCGAGGTACTTCTTTGCGATCTCTAAGAAGTGCTTTAGTTGTATTCACATGTTGGATATTTGGGTTTACTTCATAATGGTAAAAAGCAAAATTTCAATCAAATTCATGAAGAGAAAAATTTTATTTCCAATCCTCTTATGAAGCAAAATAGGCCGTAAATTGTACCTGCCTGGGATACTTACGTGAAGGAAAGGAAACAGTTACAACTAGCGCAAGTCACATATAGATAAGACGGGACACAAGATGAACATTAAATAGTAGACAAAGCAGGAAAAACAAAATCTCATGGACGGAGGATGATTTTTATGACTTCAATTCAAAATTAACACGTTTTTTCGGTGTCTATGTAGATGCTGCACAAGGCACAAGGATGGTGTCAAAGGTTCCTTTTTTTACTGGACTTCCGTGTACTATTGCTATTAATGACAGCACACTAGCTATTGAACAGCCATGCATGATGCAGCTAGCCGAAGGAAATCACTTAGAACAATAGAATTAAACCATTAATTCTCACCTTTCTTCCCTTCCTGGACACCTGACAACTTGACCTGTACGAATTTCAATCTGGCGCCCCATAAGCCAATGGCGACAAGAGGCTTGTCCAAACAGGCTCCTAAACAGTGGGGTCGCTCTTCAATGTCTAGCACACTGAGTAGATCACCAGATCTGATGTTGAACCACCGAAGGAAGTTGTCTTCACTGCAGCAGACCAGAGACTCACCGCTAACAACAAACTTACAGTCAACGAGGTTACCTTGGCCTCTGAGCAGGGTGTGGAGTGTTTCTCCGGTTTTTGCATCAAGAATAAGTACTCCATAGCCTGAATTGAGGGAAATCCACGTCACCACAAACTCTTCTTCAGGGGAGAACAGAAAAAATGGCGTGAAAGAAAACGAGCCGAACCGCCTCGTGCTTCTTTTCCATACAGGCTTGAGTGAGTTGTTGTTTCTTAAACTAACTGTTAATTGTTCGGTCTCAATTCCAAAAAAATCATCGTCTATTTCCTCACTGGTACAGACTAGCAGCTGGTCCTGTCTATTACATGAAATAGACAGTACACGGTCGTAACGGGAAACCCTTGCCTTGATAGACGTAACACGCTCTCCACTGGCAACATTGACGATGTCCACAACAAGCATTTCAAAAAGTTCATGCGTCATCAGATGGATAACAGGAGGTAAAAACGAAATATCTCTCAAGTCTACAGAAAAGTTAGGCACTGATGGATAGTCTAACAAAGAAGGATCTTCTTCATCTGCGGACTTTTCAAAATTTAGAGCCTCATCCTGCTCCACGGGTTCATCTTCTTCATGTAGCTCCATGAAATTCTCTGCCTTTGACAAAAAACCAAAATCCGATAATTCTTCTTCCGTTAATGTACGACACTGCCATTCGCAGGCTATCAGCTCATCTGATAAACGAACAGGCTTTCCAGTGCCCGTTAGTCTGGGAGTTGGTCGGATACATTCGGTCAGCTCAAAATTCCACAGCTCTGGTACTCGATATTTCAAACATGGTAGAACACCATCCTTCATGGGAACAAGAGACAGCGATGGGCAGGTGAAAACTTTTTTCAACACGGTTTCTTGGCTTGACATTCGAAATACGGTCACTACTAACGCACTGGAACTTCCTTCCTCTTTATTTAAACTAATAGAATAAATGGTATCTCCTTCAGATGAAAATACAACTTCTTCGACCACTTGTCTGGTGGAAGCAGAATTCACTTCATTGAGCGAGTCAACATTAACTGAGGCGACGTAATCAAAAGATGGGCCACCAACCAATGCTGTTTCGTTAGAAAGCTGCTCGTAGAATCCAGTGTTTAAGGATGGAAAAACACTGCGGACATTGTTTACCCAGTCCGCGAGAAAACCCTCTTCGAAAAAGTCGTTTCTCACCAGTGTCCTTGATTCAATGGGCCACAAGACGAAGTCCATTCCGCCTGTTTGGAGTAATTGTGGACGGCTAGAAACGATAAAAAGTGGTTTACCGTTAGGCACCTAAGCATAATTAAGATGTCCGAGGTCTTCTGTTCCATAACGCAGGTAGCCACAAACAAGGTCCTGATTGTCTGGGGTGAAGTGCATCAAGCCACAAACCGCATTTTTGCACCTGAACATACACTCCCCAAGCCACTTGTTCACATCAACACGGTAGATAGAGCCAGTCACGTCCGCAAAAGCGATTTGTGACCCATCTTGGGAAATCGCAAAAGAGGAAATAACATCATTCCAAGGTATGATCCTTAACTCTTGACCATTTTCCATACTCCACAAAACTACTTTCCTGGGATCATCAAAACAGTCTGTTAAAATGATTCTTTTGTCGCTAGCAAAAGCACAATGCGAAAATGTGCAGTTACTGTTAGGAAATAAGTCATTACACTCTCCTTTCAGAGTGTAGACACTTCTAAGGGTACCCGGTAGGACAGATTTTTCACTAGGATGAAAAACGACTGAACTGTAAAAAGTCAAACAATCAAAGTTAATCTTGCGATAC